CTTGGATTTGGAAAATGTCACCATAGCTAAATTTATAAATGATATTTAGTTATTGATCTTATCACTAATTTGAGTTGAATACATCTTATTAACTCATCTCCTTTTGCAGGTATAATCCACACCACATTGGATAAGAAACAATATATTTCCCTAGGTGATGTTGCCTGCAGACGTTAAATGGTGTTATCAGGAAGTTCTGTGGTGTTTAATCAATGGACATCCACTTATAGCTCTCATCTCCAAGTAGGTAATGACTCTCATAGCCAAATTTATGATTTTTCCTTTGTCTTTACAACCTATGAAATTTGGCACTACAGAGAGAACCAAGTGACTGAGAGCATAGGAAGAAACACTATCATTTGCAGTGACTATTGGAAAGAAGCTAAAGTTTCAGTATGAATCAATTAATGAGGACCTGTATCTTAGGGATTACAGTTGGTATAAGTGCATAAACCAAAATTAAGGACCAAATGAACATCACAAACTCAGTGTTACTACATAAAACTGAATAGCCTGGCTAGACTCTGTATGATAACTGAGATCAAGAGCTGGGTGCCTAGAGGGAGAAAACCAAGTAAGCAGCCCACTGCAGATGGGCTATGTATTTCATAAACAATACCTTACATTACAGAATGGCAGAATATCTCAGTTACCATCTGGAAGAATTCTATGTGCTAAGTGGAAGGGATCCATGTGTGTTTATGTCAGGTGGATGGGTTTGGCACATTGCTGAAATATTAACCTCCACAAAGATGCAGCTGCTCACCTGTTTCAAGATTTTGTTCTCCATCTCTTTTCTCTTTCTCTTCTTCTGAATAATAATCCTCTTCTTTCTTTTCTTTTTTTATAATTCCCTTAGGGTCTTTTAAATGAATTATAAAATTGTGCTTGTCCTTTTTCACTTTCACTTTGATAAAAGTTGAGCCTGAGGAAGAACCATAGGCTAAAAGATGGGCTGATTATGATGCTACGTTAATCTCCTCAACAAGATTTTTAAATAATGCAGCATTGAATTTAAGCCAGGGAAGGGAAATACCTAGGGATGTCAGCATTTCTGTAAAAGGATGCCTAAAGGAATAAAGTAATGATAGAATTCCAGCAATAAATGGTAGGTGGACCAAAGAGATATTTGCAGGCCTTCTAGTAACTTTTCAAACCAAATTACAGAAGAGAAAATAAATTGTCTGAGGCAATGTGTACCCATGATCAACTTTATGATTCATCAATTGAGAAAAT